TTAGTACCGTGACACGCGGGAACAACACGATAAGGTATTATCGCGTATTTAAGCGGAAGAAGAAAGCGTCGATTGCAACCGGGTAGAAACCGCTTAGATAGCGCAATTGTTACGGTAAAATAAACGGAACGGTTCTGTTTACACTGAGCGCGGCGGCGGGCTACCATCAAACCTAACGTTGCCAGTGTAAACCATTCCACCTGTATCCTTGCGTACAGGTTAAGCGTTCCGTCCATACCTCCGAGCGCTCTCGTATCAATAATCGGTCGAGTTTCCCCAGACCGGTCGCGTGAAATCATTCAGCGATAACAGCAATGAAAATCTCAACGCGTAGGCAAACTTTACTGCATGCGTGAAAACACTGGAACGAGCAATCGTACGTTGTGTACGGTCTCGCAATAATAATAACCCTGATCGATGTCCATCGAACAATTACATGCGCATGTCGTATGAGCCATTCATTTGCTGAAGTGATTAAATGTAAGAAATGAAAATTAGAAAATTTTGGTGGAATTACATACGTGAAGAACTAGTTACGTGTTTCAGCACTAATTTTGAAAACATTTACGAAATCAGAGTTAAACATATTAACCTGTGAACGACTGGTGATTTTCTTATAACGATCACGTTCGATTCGGATTCGAATTCCCTATACATCGATCGAGCAATCGTATGCTCACATCATACGAGCCATTCAATTTGGTATAATGATCAGCTCCACAAAATGAAAGATAGAAAGATTTGGTGAAATTATGTGTATGAAAATTATTTTGACATTAAAATTTGATATGGAAATAATAGGGTTGATCATTTTTGACTTGTAAGAACGACTCGTATCTTTCTACAACGGTCACGTTAGATTCACGTTGAATTCGGTTTCGATTTCCCTATGTATCAAACAGTCATTTTTGATTCCTCCAATGAGAAAGTCGATCGAGGTGCAATCGAAAATCCGCTGCCGGCCTCTAACGCTTTATTTACCAAACACCCGTTGCAGGCGGTCGCCGCTCGAAAGCAGTCGCCTCGTGAAGTTTCCCGTCCTCTAAACGAATAGCATAAACTTTCGCTCGACTGTATCGAACAAACCGTCGATGGAACGATCATCGTAGACGTGGCGCACGTTAGATCGCACACTGAGCCGCGGAGACACTTGTCACGGTTCAAGCAATCTTCCGTTCGTTGCATTCGAGGTTAAGCTCTTTGTTAACGAAGAACAAAACGTAGAAACAATGTATGCAGGACCACCGAGAGTTTAGGATAAAGGAACGCGTGTTGGATGTTGGGTCATCGTGAAACAACGAGCCAACAAACGAACATCCTTTCTCCTATTCTAACACGAATCACCGCGAAGTCTAAGAAACGTGTCCTGTAACACGGCTGTAAGCGCGGCTGTGTCCGCCTGATCGACAAATATCACGAACTAGAAGAGCCACCTCTCCGCGAGACAGAAGAGGATCGTATTCGTTCGTGCGCGCACTCTTACGACTGAATTCGGGAACGAGCAACACGCAAAACTGAAACAAGCGAATACTGCGAACCAAGCGGAACGATGAATCGCGACATCGGTGTACTGCCTACCAGCTGGCAGCCGCCGAGAGCTGTTTCGAGGTCGCGGCGAAACGACCGAGAACAATTAGGAACGGGCTTAGTGGGCTGCACCGGTTCAAGCGGATCGCGAAACGGAAACTGCGTATACTGCGCGTATCTCTTGTCGAACGAGGACGAAACTGAAGGTTTCAGCTTCTCCGCGAGAAATAACGGCGGTGGTTGATCGGTGCGACAGCGCGCGCGGTTTCTCGACGACCGCCGAGGAAATCTCGTCGATCGGTCGACCACCAGTCGAGAAGGACTCGGTCGCGCGAACTGACCGGCAGCGACAGGCTGCTCGTTGCCTCGACTCTCGTTAAATTAACCACAATTGCCGGCAAGGCCTACACGCACGCGCTTTCCTCTCTACGCCTACGGCCTGTATTGCCGCGGATACGCGACACGTAGATACCCCGATATATGCACATGCACGCATCCGTCTTAAACGTTCGAGTATGCGTTTTAACGCTTGCGAATCACCGACAGCGTAAAACCTGCCGGGCGACAATGTTGCCACGAGATCGCCGCGGGAATTTTCGGGATTAGTTGTCCATGGACTTTTTTTCTGTTATATGAGAATCGCGCATTCCATTTGTAATCGCGATACGTGAGCGTAGGAAATACTGATACATTGTATGTTGATACCTAGAACGCGGTATAACCTGCGATGCGTCTAACCGGACTGTAAGGTTAACGTACGGTTTCTACGAGTCGATTTCCGTGAACAGGAGATTGTAAACCCTTTGTGACGCCTTGTTATTTTAAAGTAATAAGTTCATATATTTGTGTTCTTTAACACTAGAACTACGTACTAGTCAAAATGACTGGTTTCGATTTTTTTGTTTCACAGTTATTAATATCTTAAAAGCATCGAATATTCCAAATGATTTTGACAATAAATAGTTTCCCTTGAATACTATAATGAATGCCTGAAGAAACAGAAAATAATTCATTGTTACAATTTTTATAGGGATTACTTATTAATCGTATTAAATGCTCGGTAGTTCTAGTCTGAAGCTTGGCTTTATTCTTTCCTTTGTCACTATGAATTAGTATTGCATTTTAGTACCGCATTGCCGATTACACAAAGATACATAAGAACAATATGTAATGGTGAGTCGAAGCTCGTAAATATTGTTTTAAGGAAACAGAACTGCTGTTTGAAAATTGCAAATGTGTATACGCAAATATTGTACTCGATTGTAATTTAAAATTTATTTTGTAATTTCTAAACACCGTTCTACTGACGATAAAATGTTAAAAAATGCTAAACCAATTCTTTTTTCGTATCAGAGGCAGCATGGTCATAGATTTTACGTTACAAACTTTTTTTTATACGCGAACAAAAAATTTTGTTACGGAGAGTTAAATTATAGTCAAACAAAGTGCATTTTTGCAAAGTTTGTAAACTAACCTTCAGATCGTAATAACGTATACGGTGAGAAATAAATATTTGCGTTGAATAAAATATTTTCTGATCCTGCACTTGAGTAAAGGTGTAAAGTTAAGTTAGGAGTTCAGCAACATGCACTTTATGTGAAAGAGGTTCTCAAACTCATAAATTTTAAGAACCACAGACATAAACATTTACGAAAACAAGATCAAGAACAAAGCGCTAGAGGGTATTACTTCCATAACATTGTCAGTTAACTCTTCAACGACAATGTCTAGGTCTATTTTGATTCCAATTTTCAAAGGTCTCATTCGATTTCTTATCTTCATATAAATATTTTAAATAGTCAGTAAATTATATTAAATTTAATAATACAATTTAATGCATCTTGAAGCAGTAGGTTGGAAAAAATATCTAAAAAATTGATTACATAGTATTCTTCATTTGTAAAGATTAATAATCATTACTGTTTCTAATTTTTTATTATTTTATGTTTACATAATAATTATTTCTGCAAAATAATTTGAGTACGAGGAATATTTATATGCACTAACGCATATAATGTATTCCTTATTAGCATTGATTATAGCTGCCGGTGGATCACTCGATCGATTGACTGTTCGATCGTATTCTCAATCGAAAAAATCTATTAACTTTCGATAATCTTTATTGGATTCAAGTTAATGAAATATGTTTATCACTGTTGAAGTATCGTGCGCTGCATATGAAGTTGCGATTAGCAAATTTAGGTAAAGCGCTACAATTTTTGTGCCTTTACCAGTCGAGGGTCACCAAATCCGATCATAAGGGCTTCTAGATGAATCAGTGCAGGTCCTTTTAAGAACTGTTGACACTCGACACTCAAAAGCTCTTCCGCATGGCACCGTACGACCTTTTTACGAAGCCGCTATACACGGTGTCTAGAAAGTTTTAGTGTATCTTGACAGAATTAAGAAACTGCCATACACGGTGTCTAGAAAGTTTCAATCTATTTTAGTAAAACTACGAAGTGACAGTACACGGCGTCTAGAAAGCTTCAATCTATTTTGACGGAGTTAGTATGTTCATAGCGTTTACAGAAATGCTTAAATAATTAAAATTATCCATATAAATGTTTTCCAAGTTACTGAATCGTTGAATTAAATTCAATAAATGAATAGATTATTCGCATCGTCCGACTGAACGGTTTTCGACTATTTACTTGAATTTTTATCAAACTGCACCTCTATCAGATAAAGATTGTGAATCTAGAAAACTTAAGTGTGTAAATAAGAAATATGGTAGGTAACGTAACGTCGCAAATGCTTCCGAATATGTTTTTGAGTATTGTAAACTGATTTACATTTTTCTGGCTTACATGTTTTAAAGATCCATGATTTTCTTACAGATAAATTTCTTTATAATGATGATTTACAATAAACCGTAGAAAGTGAAATATCTTAAGAATCTGTAAGAAATATGTACATAGATATCTTGTTGTTACAGATTAAGCCTTGTTGACTCACAGCGTAGATATACTTATCTAGATTCGTGAAATATGTGTTTAGTATTTACTCTTCACAATATCACTATTGAATCATCTTTATCCTCTGCTATATCTTCTTCTAATTATTATTTTATTATTCAATTCTCTATTTACTTAGAATCATGTATATACAACCATTAAATTTCCTTACCAATAGACTAGCAAACATTTACTGTTCATATTGTTCACTGAATTTTCACGAAAACTACTAACAGATTTGACAAATTCTCCATATTAAAATGATCAATTACTAAAGATTTAAAAAATAAATTAAAACAAACCTTATTCGAGGTAACATTACAGCCAATAAAACCGCCTTTATAGAGGCTATCATTCATCATTGCTAATAAAATCTAATAAAAATCAATCGAAAGAGCTCGCGTGAGAATAAAAGCCGTCAGATATGATTAAGTTAAATTAACGCGAAACAGCAAGTTGGCGACTACATTTCCCTGATTTTTTAAGGGAAAAATTGCTCTGCCTTCGCTGACATAATTAACGCTAATAAACACAAACGACGCGCCAGGGGGGTTTAGGAAAACAACCTAACCCCAAAGTTGTCTCTGAAAATTTCACGATGGCGTTATTGTACTATCCAGTGCACGTTGAACGGGAGTAAAATGAAAACTCAAGTCGCAACGCGAAAAAGGTACAAGTCAAGTGACACTGGCGAGCCGTAATGGAGGAATTTTAGGGTCGCGCGAGCACGATTTCTATGGAAATTGTTATGCAGCGCGACGTTTCTCTATCCCACTTCCTTCCTGCGCGAATCGAAGGGAAGCGTCAAATGGTTAATTGCGACGTTGGCTTGATTTGCTTTCCGTTATCGCAATTCTGATACAGAACGGCGGCTCGTAATTGTGTTGAGGTCGCGTATGCGTTAACCAGAAACTACGGTGATGCGGAGACCCACATGATGGCGCAATGCCCTTTCGCGAACAAAATTGTCCGTTAGCCGTGTACTTACTTTGGGATTGATACCGCGTCGCTTCCGATTACCGATGCAACTAGTTAATCTCTTCAGGCTCATCTCCATAACGTTATGTTCGTTAGGTGCTAATTTTAACTCTAGAATATTTTTAGATTAATCAAAAGATTTTATTGCTCTTTTTATAAGAATTTATCATCGTGTTTTACTTGATAAAATTGAGGTACGTTACAGCGAATATTATTATTTTTTTAATACACTTTTTGCAATATTTTAATGTGTATATACTTAATCGTAGTAGTGTATATATACATGATAATAGAAATTTTTCTGAAAATATTGCTTGAGAGAAGTTAATAGATGCTTTTGTGGTAAAATAATGAAATAGAAAAAGGCATTTCTTTTTAAAGCTAAAAATCAGAGACAAAATAGGAACAAACACTGCCGCGAAGGTTTAATAAGCATCATTATCATTCTTTACATACAAGACCAAGTGCAAGACTACTTTACTGTTATCAGTAAGTAACTTTCAAGGTAACTATATACTTACAATGAAGATAAGATTCTTTTGCCTTTTTGCAAATTGTTAACAGTAAAATAATTTTTTTTGAGATACCTTAGGCTCACCGGAGACTCAAACAAAATATAAGAAATATAAATATCCTTTAATTCTTTTAACTTTAAATAAAATATTATTTTTCTATTGC